AGCTGCGTTCACATGCAATCCAAATTCACATTGTAGAAAAATCCATCTTTCAATATCTGGATCTCTCCATTTGAATTGCAAGTAAAGAGGATCAATATCCAACTTTACACATTGTCCCATGCAGAAATTCTGCTACTTTCCCCTTAGTGGCATAATGCGGCTAGAACTTGTTCTCTTGCATTGGATGCTACTGTTAGACCATTTAACTGAAAATCAGAAAATTATTCACCAAAAAAAGTACTCGGTCGTAGTAAGCATCTCTACAAGAAAACAGAAGATTGAAAAGAATTACCAATGGAAATAATGACATAACCAGAACCCAATACCATACACAGAAACCCGCAAATTAATTAGATTAAATGCCATAGAATAATAGAACTAGGGAGCTCCAATTGCTTGCAGTTCTCCTGTGTAATGGAGAAACAGAAACTTTCTTCCAAGAAGCCACCTTGAATCTGATAGCTTCATGGGGTGGACATGGCATTTGATATTGTAAACTTTGTTGGACTACCACTACTCTCAAATGCTTAAGCCATTTGGATGTGGCCAACAATTATGTTACATTCTAGCACACATGCAGACAACTCTTCACAATTAAAGCCCAACATGTGGAATTCAACTTATTTTCAGAGGGTCTGCAATTGCAGGGATTTGAAAGTTAAGGAACTCCTGCTGTGATGTCATGTTGAGTTTGCTGGGTTACCATTATTCCCAAAAGTTTAAGCTGACAGGATATGGGCCAACCATTATTTGGTCTTCTAACAGATTTATTTTATTTTTTCCTTCAATTTGTTTACTGCCACTTTGAAATAATGTACATTTTAGATATTCTTTATAGAATTCCAAATTTATTCCTGTGTTAATTCATTGATTTAGGTTGGAAGCTACCCTGGTACTGGTAAATTTGAGGAGGTAGGCCATGGAGATGGGGAAGGAACAACACTAAATCTTCCTCTACCTGGAGGCTCAGGTGATACTGCCATGAGAACTGTGTTTGATGAAATAATTGTACCATGTGCTCAGAGGTTTAAGCCAGATATTATCCTTGTCTCTGCTGGGTGAGTTTCGCATTCCATGTAAACTACTGTATCATTGCCAATCTTCATTACCCATTTGCATATGAATAACCGAATTGTTTAGGTATGATGCTCATGTATTGGATCCACTAGCGAGTCTGCAATTCACGACAGGAACATACTACATGCTTGCATCCTATATACAACAACTTGCGAATGATCTATGTGGGGGTCGATGTGTATTTTTCTTGGAAGGAGGATACAACCTCAAGTCCCTTTCCTATTCCGTGGCAGATTCATTCCGTGCCTTTCTGGGAGAGCCAAGTTTGGCTTCCGAGTTTGACAACCCTGCCATCTTGCACGAAGAGCCATCAACCAGGGTTAGGCAGGCAATTGAGAGGGTGAAACATATACATTCCTTATGAAGATCCCATAGACTTGGCATGCATACAACTTTACATATTATTCTGTACTATAAAGATCAGATGCAAGCATATTCTGTTGTGCAAATCCTTACCTACAAAGCTCGTAGTTCTCACTTATAGTAAGTTTGTTTTAGTGATTGACAATGACAAATAGTTACCTGTACATTCATCACTGTTGAATTTCTGTCCAGTGTTGCACTTTGTATATGTATCTGGTGGTTGGGAAAAACCTAAGGATCCATTTGGATCAAAGGCTTTGAATTTGAGTATTCAAATGAGTTCTTTATTTCGGAGATCAGAAATGTTAAAGAAGTTAATGAGGTCTCTTAGCATGACCCTAATCTTAAGGAAAATGCTTAGGATACCACATTTAGACACAATGATATGCTACGGTCATGCTAAGGCAAAAGACCCTAATCTTAAGGAAAACGCTTTGAATATTGGGTTGTAAATGCTAGCTTTCTTGAAAACCTCAATTGCTTTTTCTTTTTTCTTTTTTGTGAAAATCTCAACTGCTATGCTATAGGAATTGTAGAGTTCAATTCCATGGATTGTTGATCAAGTTGACAATTGCCTTGGGTCTTGATATGTTATTTAATTTAAGCTATAAGTTTAAATAATAATGGGCCTTTATTGAGTGTTTTCTTTATAATTAAACTTATAGACACAGTATCGGCGAAATTATCGTTTTTTTGGGGCAACGATATTTTAGCACAATTCTATCTTTATAGAATCAATTTATCGATAATTTCGCCGATATTTCAGTTCAATTCACAGCTTTAAATGGTGATAATATTGCGACATGAACTTTCAAAAATTAAACAATTTAAACTCACTCACGCTCTCGCACACAGTGGGGTTCAAACCCCTCTCCACTCTGAAATTTTGCAACCACTTAACCACCACGCTGCTTATAACTCTGTGATTATAAACTATGGAATCTAGTATATATATTACTTGCGAGACTTTCAAAAATTAAACAATTTAACTCACTCGCACATAGTGGGGTTCGAACCCCTCCACTCCGAAATTTGCAGGCACTTAACCACGCTGCTCATAACTTTGTGAATATAAACTATGGAATCTAGTATATATAATACTTGCGAGCTGCTTTTCAAGTTTCAACTTTTCAACTATTCACCACGTTTCAACTTACTCATTTACCCCACCATTCAACCACTCACCAAACTAATTAGTTGTAGTCATATTTCTATACATATAGTTTTTTTTTTTTTGAAAGGAAAGACTTCATTAACGAATCAACATGACAAAGAAATGTCGGCATGGGTAGAGTGGCCTCATTAAAACCTCCCTAAAGAAAACCCGATGGGAAAAACTTCAGGGGAGGAAAAAGAGTGCCACATATGCCCGATTACACATGAAGATATTAAATCAAACGACAGTAGGCTCGTGCCAATCATCATAAACAGCATCCATAAGCCACAAAGGACCCACATCCAACCAGTACGACAAACTTTGATCACGCAGACTGAAGCGGGCAATGCGATGGGCAGCCTTGTTCGCTTGGCGAGGAATATGACGAACAACAGCAGACGCAGACCTGACCAGAAGGCGTCGCACTCCATCCACCAGACCTCCCTCAGCAGCAAGGCATTCCTCCTCGTTGTTGACCATAGAAGCTACCTGCAAGGAATCAGACTCAATCTCCAGAGGCACTAGAGACGCATCCAACGCAAAAGAGAGTCCAACATTAAGAGCGTACAGCTCTGTTGCTAGTACAGAGATCCAACTTGGCGCCCGCATAGCTAGAGCCCCAACCAGATTTCCATGAGAGTCACGGACGATGGCACCAGCTCCCCTAGCTCCCCGTCTCCATGTCAGTAGCCCCATCCACGTTCAGCTTGAAACAATTACCCGTAGGAGGCCTCCATTTAATATCACGAACTGGCGAGGATAAACTCCTATGATTGGCAGCAGAATACTGTTTAAATTCATCATCATAGTCCTTCGCTCGTTGTACCAAAACTCCGGAAGGGGTGGGTTGAGAGCCAAACAGCACCCCATTACGTTCGTTCCACAACACCCACACAGTAAATGCAAAGAGGGAATGCTTATCAGGGGGAATAATAGACCAAGCTGCATCCATCCAGGTTCCAACGTCAGCTACAGTAGGAAGAAGGAAATCCCTGGGAAAATCTAAAGCCTCCCACACCTGCAGACAAACAACACATCCAACCAACGCATGCAACGTAGTTTCTCTCGCAGCAAAACAGCGACAACAGACCTCCTCCTGTGTAATCCGGCACCGGAATAATACGTCCTTGGAAGGGAGGATATCTTGAGACACACGCCATAACAGATGAAGGATTTTTTGTGGCACTTTCAGCTTCCTTAGGTGCTTCCAACTCTTCAAAGAAGAAGAGGAAGGGCCAGCAACGCTCCCTGCGGACAGCTCCTCCAGCCTCTTGTATTCCAGAGCAGCCAGTACCCACTCTTAACCGAGTACCTTCCATTTTTAGTAAAGTTCCAGATTCTCCGATCCAGATTATCACCCATTAAGGGAATAGATAAAATAGCTTCAGCTTCTGGAAACGAGAAAGTAGCGTAGACCTTCCCAACATCCCACCCGCCACTCACGGTAAAAAGATCACAAACTCAGGACGTAGCTGGAAGAGTAGGTATCGACTGGACAGTGAAAAAACGATCATAAGGCACCCATGGGTCACCATAGATATTAACCAAACGGCCATCACCAATGCGCCACCTTAGGCCCAACCGGAGCAGATCCCGCCCCCATAGTAACGACTGCCAAGTAAACGATGGAAGTGACCCACTCGAAGCTGCCAAAAAATCAGATTGTGGAAAATAACGAGCCTTAAGCATCCGAGAAATCAGTGAGTAAGGGAATTCCAGCAGCCGCCATCCTTGTTTACATAGAAGAGCTTGATTAAAACTTGTCAATTCCTTAAAACCTAGCCCCCCATCAGACTTGTGTTGGCACATGAATCTCAACGTTTTCCAGTGAATACCTCTACCATCATTTTTAGACCACCAGAATTTGGCAATGATGCTCTCAATCTCGCGACATAACCCGACGGGCAAGCGAAACACACTCATAAAATATGATGGAATTGCCTGACATACTGATTTGATGAGCACTTCTTTCCCGGCCTTAGACAGAAGCTTGCCTTGCCAACCATTAACTTTATTCCAAACTCGATCCTTAACCGTACGGAACAATTTTTTCTTATCCTTACGGACAATGGTAGGGAGGCCCAAATACCGCTCATGACAAGGGACAAGAGTCACGTTCAACAGCTGACGAATGTCGTCCTGCAACACCCTTGGGGTGGAAGGGCTAAAGCAAAGAGCGGATTTTCCAAGGTTGACCTTTTGTCCAGAAGCCGCCTCATACACTCCAAAAATACGTTTCAGCTCTAAAGCCTCAGTTGTCCCAGCATTACAAAACAGAAGGCTGTCATCAGCAAAAAAGAGATGGTTAATAGAAGGAGCAGAAAGGGCAATGGAGACACCATGTAATCTAGAATCCCTCTCAGGCTGCTGGAGGAGAGCGAAGAAGGCTTCAGCCACAATAAGGAAAAGATATGGTGATATAGGATCCCCTTGCCGTAAGCCTCGAGAGGGGATAATTTGCCCAAATGGCCACCCCTAAATTAAAAACAAATAAGAAACAGTAGTCACGCAGCCCATAATTAATTGAATAAACCGGATTGGGAAACCCATAGTCCGCAACATCTGCTCCAGAAACTGCCATTCAACTCGGTCGTAGGCCTTGGCCATATCAAGCTTCAAAATTAATTTCTTTTTACCTGTTTTTCCCATTCTCTTCAAACAATGGACCGTTTCAAAAGCTGCTAAGACATTATCCAAAATCATACGGTTGGGAATAAACGCACTCTGGAACTCAGAAATAACCTCAGGTAACACCTTCTTCAGTCTATTGGCAAGAGTTTTGGAGATAATCTTGTAGAGGACATTGCATAAACTGATAGGACGATTTCCGAAACACGGGTGGGAGAAAGAACTTTCTGAATCAAAGCCACCAAAGTATGGTTGAATTCGTTAACACCATCGCTACCATTTAAAACTCTCAGACACAAATCACTAACATCCTGACCCACAATGCCCCAATATTTCTAATAGAAGAGTGCAGGCATACCATCTGGACCTGGAGCTTTTGACGGGCCAATAGAGTTAAGAGCTAATTCGATCTCATCCCTAGAATACGGGAGAAGCAGATTATGATAAGAATGTGAGGACACTCGCGCTTGGACAGCATTAAAAACCTCCACATCAGCAGCTCTCATATCCGATGTGAAAAGATTTGTAAAAAACTCCACAAAAACTCCACCTATTTGATCATATTCTCGCTGCCAACGATCATTTTCATCTAGTATCCCTACTAGGGCATTTTTCTTCCTGCGACTTGTGGCTTGCATATGAAAGAAAGAGGTGTTACGGTCTCCATGCTGAAGCCAATGGACCCGCGATCTCTGATGCCAATAAATTTCTTCCTGTTCAAGACACTTATCAAGTTCAGTTTCAATTAGGCTACGGGTATGAAAAGTCTGCGTTGACGGCTCATATGATTGGAGACTTGCCAGTCTAAGCCGTAATTCCTTAACTTTCTTGGGGACCTGGCCACCCTTCCTGGCATACCAGCGTGACAAGTTGCTGGCACAGTTGGCAATATTAGAGAGGGGTGACACTGCACTCTGCCAAGATTGACGAACAACCTCATCACAGTCAACTTCCATAATCCATGCCTCCTCAAATTGAAACCGACGACGACCTCTAGGACCTCTAGCATTGTCACCCTGTGGACCATCAGATGCAATGAGAATCGGATGGTGGTCAGAGGAGAAAGCAACTAAATGATGGGACGTGAAATTGCCCCAGTGTTGCAGAAGTGCCAGATTTCCAAAACGTCTATCCAATCGAGCCTCCATATGAGTTGTATCCTTCCGTTTATTGCTCCACGTAAATGGATAACCTGTAAACTCAAACTGAAACAAACAACAATCTGTAATGGCCTGTTTAAATTCCTCCATCTGTGCATCACGTCTCAACCGGCTCCCACTCTTTTCATTGCATTCCATTACTTCATTGAAATCCCCACAACATAGCCAGGGTCCAAAATCCACTCTACCCAAACGCCGCAGTAGCTCCCATGAATGATGGCTGATGAGTTGATTTTATATTATATATTTAACCCCATTCTTAGTATATTTTGGTTAATATTCTGGAAGAATTTTGATACTTTGAATTATATTTCTAATATAGGTCTTTCAACTTCCTCTGGAGCAAAACATAATCAAATGGACTAATTTTGGAGTAATTCCAGTCGGAGGACGTACGTGAGTCACTTAGCTTGATCGTATCAAAATATCAGACTTTTCCACCAAGCGATGATTTCCTGGTGAATAAATGAAGGAGCGATGTGCAGTGCTGGAATAGTGACGTTTTGGGCTTATATTGCGTTTTTGGAGCCCAAGATGACCTCAGATGGGTTTGAGGCCTTCTGGAGAAGTGTTCGGAATATTTTTATCTTTAAAATGAGCTATCTTGGGCCAGATTTGGAGGAGAGTTGAGATCAAAACGTGGCTGGGCATATTGTGGGCAGATTCTCCTAATCCAATTTGGACTTTATTTCATAGTCTTATTTTACTTTAACTTAGTTTCCTTGTGGGGATTGGGCAGCTAGGTTTTAGGAGGTATTTAATCTCCTTTTAGAACTTCTTTTCGGCTTTGGGAGAAATTGCTAGGGTTTTGGATTTTCGCTATTTTCAGGTGTTTTCATTCTTACTCATTCGAATGATATTTTCTTGGATTTCAATTATGATTATGTGTAACTAATTCCCTTTGCTAGGGCGAGGCCGTAAGCCTTAGCATGAATATGTAGTTTTATTAATTTGCTTATGAATGGATGCATGTTTGCTTTGAATTATTAATCACTGTGTTTAAAACTATCTATCTATTTTAATGACTGATCACCATTAGGATATGTAGACAAGTAATTTGATGCAATTTCTGTTGGAACATCACCCTGAAATTGAGGAGGGCTTCTTGTGATTAGTAATTGTAAGTTCACTTAAGGCGAACATCACGCTCTTAAGGGTTGCATGGTTTTTCAAAGGGTTTTCACAAAGCTTAATGAGTCTTGCATGTTTAGATTTGATCTGAACATCACAGACGGATTGCATGTTAGATATACGTTTTCGCTTGAACATCACAAGGAAAATATGCATTAGGAAAACCTAACCTTCAAAGCATATATGTGGAAATTCATAAGTAATTGATAGAATTGCATAGGATTGCAACGGTGTTGGCTAAGCCCTAGTTTTCTCTAAATTGTTAGTCTTTAAAAAGAAATCATTTTTCTTCTTTGCTGTTATTATTTCCCAATTTTCAGATTTCTTTTACTGTTAGTTTAATCTTTTCAAATTTATAAACTTCAAATCTTTGATAAAATATATTTTAGTTATTAATTAAGAGTTAGTTTAATTACAGATTAGTCAAACAATCTTTGGGGACAACGACCTTGCATGAGCATTTATACTACAATTACCTTGTATTCTTGCAAGTATTTTCAGTGATTTTAACCCTGTTTGTGCAGGTACTAAAAATCCTATCAAGAAATTGGCGCCGTTATAAAAATAAAAAACAGAAAAAGTGTAAACAAAATCAACTAAGAATATGATAAAAACAAATTAGTTAAAACAATCCCTGGCGTGGAGTAATAAGAGTGCTGTTATTTCCACCCACCTGTCCTATTTCCTTACCCACCTAATCTTGTAAATTTTAAAGAACAATTTACTCCTTTACAAAATGACTTCTAAGGACTTGGGGGAAAATCATTAAAACCAATTAAAAAACATAAGAAAATGATTATAAAAAAAAAAACTAAAAAGATTATTAACAAATATCAAACCCCTTCTCTCACAACACGCACACCCCAACCTTCTCCCTCTTCCTCCACTACACGGCAGCCATCTCCCCCACTTCCCCAAGCACCCACCTCTGTATTAGAGTCAGCTTTCCCAACTCATCCCCAATTTTGATCCAAGCATGCTTAATCCGAAAACTAGCCCCTGTCAAAACCAAGGTCTAGAGCAAAGTCCCAAAAATCCAATGTCTGACAAAGCAATCTGCTCTGGGGATGTGAGATCCCTACATTTTGAGGATGATACTGCCAAAAAGGGGGAAAGGCAGGAAGAAATGGTAACATATCTGAACTTTGAATTCTCTGTTTTTTAAAAGAGCTATTAGAAGTCGTTATTATGAAGCAAACCGTCGTTTGAAATACATACCTTGACGATTTATTAACGTTTTGATTTAATTTTTTTACTTTCTGTACAATCTATCATATATATATATATATATTTCTTTATTACTTAAAACAGAAATATGGGGATTTTGAAAATCAAGATGAAGAGAAGAAAGAAGAAAAAAAAGATGAAGAGAATAAAGAAGAAAAAAATGATGAAGAAAATAAAGAAGAAAAAAAAGATGAAGAGAAGAAAGAAGAAAAAGAAGATGAAGAGAAGAAAGAAAAAAAAGAAGATGAAGAACAGCATGATGAAAAGGTATATTCTCATAACTTTGCCCTTTTTATTTGTTTTTCAAATTTCAGACGTCGATAGTTTCTTTAAACCGTCGTTTGTTTTCAAATTAGACGTCGGAATTTGTTTCCTATGATGTAATAAATTATTCAACACGACGGTGTTTTGTTACCGTCGTTTAAATTATTATCAGACGACGTTGTTTTCTTTAAACCGTCGTTTTTATTGAATTACCACGTCATTTTATTTTGCTTTATGTCTTTAAACAAGGTATTGAAGTAGCTGATTATTCAAAGGTGGAGGTGCCATCTTCCTTACAATCCCTTTGTCGTTATGTGGAAACCACACTAAAGCCTCAGGAGAAGATCATGACCTTTACAATTGGGAAGGAGGTGTTTGGTGCAGATCGCAGTACCTTCCTCTTGCCTGAAGATATTACACAGTTAGCAAGCATGGAAGAAATTGGGGCTACTGTGCTTGCAGTATATATGAGGTTTGTCCTTATCAAATATTTATTTCACACTCAAATTTGTGTTGAAAAAACAAAAATCATTATAGCATAAGACGTCGGTGGTTTATTTATTGCGTCGTTTGAAACTAATAACAACGTCATTAGTTATGTACCGTCGTTATAAATTAATTATAACGTCGATTTCTATTTCATTTCGTCGTGTGAAATTGTATAATACGTCGTTTTTTTATAAATAACCCTCGTGTGTTTTTTGTGCTGACTTTTTTATATATCTTTGTTTTATATATTTAGGTGCTTATATGATCATTTGAAAGTAGCAAATATG